CCAGAACTTTCTCTGCACCCACATTGTCTGCATGGGTTAGCGACCCAGCATATAGTCCTAGTGTTCTAGGCAGGAGGCCTGACGCTTCTACCCCGACAGGCTGCTGTCCTAGGCTGACCCCATGCCCACCCCATGCCCAGCTTTTGGGTGTGCAGCTGGATTTGCTGTCTTCTCTCTGCAAGGGCACGGTTTTACTAGGGTCCCTACCTTGGTTATTCTGAGGAATTCCCCGGACTTTCCTCCGTTAAAATAAGTGGTGGAGGTGAAGAAATCATTGTAGGGGAGAGAAGAGGAAGGAGCCAGCTCCCTATGACTTCACACTTGAGTGTTTCAGGTAACTTTGTAGCTCAGAGTGTCCCCTGCCAAACTTGCAAACAAAGGTGACCCCAAGATCGCTTAAATTATCACCTAATCACTCTTGGGTACCCTCATTGAGTGTCCAAGCCCTTTGCACATTCTTTGGATGCCCGGACCGAAAGACTGAGTCTGAGGGAGGGACAAGGAAGTGGGGGGGTGCGGAGTGGTAATTCGGGCTGGGGGAGGAGGGTAAGTCCCTGGGGAGGGCCGGCTGCTGGTGATGCAAATAGACACCTGCCCCTAGGTTGTGTTTGGCTCAAACCTACGGCGCCCAGCACACTTCAGGATCGAAGCAGGGATTTAAAGCCAGTCAAACTGGGAGTCGTTTGAAAATGAGATGGTTTAAAATCAAAGAAAGGAAAATGTTTTAGTGCTTTTGTTTTTTAAATGTTTATTTATTTTTGAGAGAGGGTGCACACGCACGCGAGCGAGCAGGGGAGGGGCAGGGAGAGAGGGAGACACAGACTCAGAAGCAGCTCCAGGCTCTGAGCTGTCAGCACAGAGCCCAATGCGGGGCTCGAACCCACCAACCGTGAGATCATGACCTGAGCCGAAGTCAGACACTTAACGGACTGAACCACCCAGGCACTACAGCGTTTTTTAAACCAGCTTTGCAAATAGATTCTTGGCTACGTACAGAGTCTGGTTCCTAACCTGTCCTCTAGATTTGGGCTTCCTTGGAACAGACCGTTGGAAGGTTCCACCGGAAACAATGTCTGTCTTACATCTTTGAAAGATGAACACACATGCACTTGAGAACAGGGACAGGGACAAATGTGTCCTGAGCTTGGTTATTGGTTTCCAAGCCGTCCTGGAGCCCGATTTAGATGGATGGGTCGCCCTTGAAAAAGTCCTGCCATGGCAAAAAAAAAAAAAAAAAGGCGAGGGGGAATTGTGGGGAGGGACCCTTTCTGGAAGCTCTCGGGGACACAGCGTTTCTAGATTTGACACAGAATTTAGAAACCTATGGTGACCTGCCTGCAGACGGGCACCTTTTGCTTTGAAGTCTTTGACATGTGGCTTTGGCGGCCTTGAGGGTATGACAGAGGCTGCCGTGGGAGGGACGGGCAGTCTGGAGCAGAGGAAGGGAGGGGAGAGGACACGAGGCTGCTGTGTGCCCTGGGGTGAATCGCTTCCCCTCTCTGGGTCTCTTTTCAATCAAAGGAGGGGGTGAATGTCAGAGTTTTAAGGGTTCTTTTTTGTGCCCCCAGCTCCAGATCAAGACCTGGGCCATTTCCAGGCCTCCAAAGGCTCCCCTTCCTCCACTCAGATCAGCTCAGCTATTTTATGATTAATGATTGTCCTTAACTGAGCACATTGTTCTTTCAGACTCTTTCCCGTTCTATCTAGACTTGCACACCACCGGCCACGCATCACTGCTGAGCGCTGGAGGTCTGTACCGCTTTGGGGCATAGGTGTGCCCTGCGCACCGGGTTTCTAAAACTTAACACGGAGAGAAGAATGTAGAAGATCCCATTGATTTTGTATATCTGTTACCTGTTCAAATGGCAGTATTTTGGGTATAAAGTTAGATACAATCCTATGCAAGTCAGTATCACCTGGTTCTTCTTCCTTTTTTTTTTTTTTTTTAGTGTTTTCAGCGTGGCTGCTAGAAAATGAAAACTTCCCCATGTGTTAGCATTGCTCTGGGCCCTATGTCCTTCCTAGTCAGGACCCGCCTGCCTCCGGCAGCCTCTGCCCCCAGAGGCGTTTGGTGGCTGGTTTTGCTGTTTCTGCCTCTTTCTGAAATGTCACAATGAAGCCCACTCCCCAGGGGTACTGGTGCCCCCCCACCCCCCGTGGAAGGGCCGTCCTGAGGACCCGCCAGAAAGGGCCAGAGCTGGGGAAGGGGAGGGGGTGATGCGAGTTGAGTTTTAGGTTGACTCAGGCCTTTCAGGGACTTTCTGTCGAGTCCACACCCTCAGGGGAAGTGTCAGCTCACCTCTGAAGCCTCTGGGGGTGCAGAACATCCTGTGTGGGGGAGGCCTGCGAGGCCTGGTGGGGCCCCCTCCGTGTGGCTCCACCCTCTCCCTCTCCCTGGCCCCCTGGAGGGTGGGTGCTGTTCCCGTAATGGGGGCCAGTGAGGTTGCTGCTCTGTGTACTTTTGTTTGATATAATCATTGTTTTTACTTGCCTTTTGGTTTTTAAATCATGTCTCTGGTATGTAGCGTAGGGTTTCAGGGTGTGGCTTTGGTAGCCGGAGAAATAGCTGTTTTGGGGGATAATTTTGCTCATTTATATTTATTGTTCTGTTATATTTTTCCTGGATTCCATTATTCTGGATTGTTCTTGATTTTGGCTGTGATTTGGTTTGTCATATACCTGGGGTCTTAGGTTGGACTGTGCATAGCTCCATTTACAGTTTTACTGTAGATTTCTTAGGCCCTTATCAAACCTTTCTTAATCGGAATCTTCTAATGGCTAACGGACACAAACAGGAGTGTCCTTATTTCTTTAGATTGCCATATATAGCTATCGAGAAGCAGGGGAACTTTGGACTTCCTGCTAGAGGCCTCTCGAGATGTCGGCTTCCTCCTCCCCAGTCTGCTCTCCGCCTCCCCCCGCCCCACCCCTTCCCCCACCAGTGCCACTTCGGCTCAGGTTGAGAAACACGTTAATTCTCAGTTCCCCTTTCTGGCCCAACTTTTGTTCCCTCACTGTGCTGAGGACAGACACCACCAGTTGGCAGCACAGGATGGCCGAATGGTTCTAAAAAGTATCAGAAGGACGTCTAGTCCTTCTGGCTTGGTTACACAATCTCCCCAAGCCCAACCCACGGGTCTTATCTGAAAAAAAAGCTAATCTACCTAGGAAGGACTAAGTGAGGAAATGTGTGAGCCTACCCCTGGCACGTAGTAGTTGCTTGATAAATATTAACCTTCCCCTCTCCCCTGCCAGCTAGTATTCTTAGTTCCTTGGCGTGGCAAGTGGTTTATCTTTATTCTGTGAGACTTGACCTTGAGTGTTCTCCTGGCTTAGTCGTTCTTGGAGACATGGTGACTTTTTTTTTTTTAAATAGAGGTGAAATTCACGTAACATTTTAAAACATAGAGTTCGTTGGTACTTAGTACATTCACAGTGTTGTGCAATCACCACCCCTGTCTAGTTCCAAAACATTTTCATCCCCCCAGAAGAAACCCCATCCCCATGACCCCCCCCTCCACCTCCAGTCCTTGGAAACCACAAATGGATGTCCTGTCTCTGTGGATTTGCCTTTTCTGGACATTTCATATAACAGGAATCATGTAGTAGGTGGTCTTTCACATCTGACATCTTTCACTCAGCATGATGGTTTCGAGACTCATCTGTGACGTTCCTTCCTTTCTGTGGCTGAATAATATTCCATTGTGCGAATAGACCATAATTTGTTGGTGGACATCTGGGTGGTTTCCAACTTTTTTGGCTGTTATGAATGATGCTACGTTTGTGGGGATGTGCGCTTTATTTCCCTCGTGTAGAGCTCTAGGGGCAAAATGACTGGGTCATATTGAAGTGTTCTAAGTTTGGGGCACCTGGGGGGCTCAGTTGGTTAAGCATCCGACTTCAGCTCAGGTCATGATCTCGCAGTTCGAGCCCCGCATCAGGCTCTGTGCTGACAGCTTGGAGCCTGGAGCCTGCTTCCGATTCTGTGTCTCCCTCTCTCTGTGCCCCTCCCCTGCTCATGCTGTCTCTCTCTCTCTCTCTCTCTCTCTCAGAAATCAATTTTAAAAAAACATTAAAAATAAATAAATAAAGTGTTTTAAGTTTGCTGATGTGTGACCGCATCTGGTACCCATAGGTGCTTAATAATGGTAGTAATTGTGTACACAGTCTCCTTGGGGATTTTTTTTTTTTTTAATGTGGATGATTTTCTGACCTTCAGACTTGTTACTTGTATTTTGGTGAATTTCTCTGTATTCATCTCTTTCACCATCCTGAAAATTTTCCTTGTTGATTGAAGTCTGGTGATCCACATATCAAAAGAGCTGTTGATTTTGCATGGCTTGGAGTTATCGGATAAGCCAGGTCACCTGCCTCACGCATTCATGTCGCAGGCATCACGTGTGCCTGGCCTGTGGGGTGTTATGATCGAAGGCCATGTACTCTGAGGGGGATGGTGGCCGTACACGTTTAGCTCATCACTGTAGCTGAAACTAGCCATTGTGGGGATATTCGCAGCATGGAAATTAGCAAAAGCCAGTCACCACTTGTCTTTCTTTCTCTCTGTTTTTGGTTTTTGGTTTGGTTTGGTTTGGTTTTGGAAAGCCCGGTGTTAAACACTTACCAGCACGCCAACCTGCCCTTCCAACCTCCTCTCCTAATATTCCCCCGGCAGGTTGGTCTTTCACAGACAAGGAAACTGAGGCACAGAGAGTTGAAGGAACTTGTCCGAGGAAAATGTCAGAGCCAGAATTCAGACCCGGTCTGACTTGGGCCCATGCCCTTGGCCTTGGGACTATACTGTTTCCAGATGGCACACGTTTTCCCATCTCCCGTCATGGTGTCTCCCTTCCTTCCTGAACCTCGCTACCACCCGATTTTCATTCTGATCATTTCTTAGTCTTTTAGGTGCCAGGACGTTCTGGTGTTTTCTCTTGAGCAACATTCAGATCCTGTCCCTTCTTAACGGGAACTCTGTGTTTTGTTTTGTTCTTTTCTTGCAGAATTTTGCTAAAGAGTTTGTGATCAGCGATCGCAAGGAGCTGGAGGAAGATTTCATCAAGAGCGAGCTCAAGAAGGCGGGAGGAGCCAATTACGACGCCCAGACGGAGTAACCCCAGCCCTTCCCCTGCCCCTTGCGAAGCCATCCGCCTGCCCCCCGGGGGAGGGGCCGCGGCCTCAGCCACCAGCCCACCAGCCACCAGGGGCAGGGCTTGCAGTGCGAGGCCCGTGCCGCCCTGCCTGCAGCCTGCGCCCCTTCCCCGCTTCCCCCCCCCCCAGCCCGCTGCGCCCCATCTGTCTCCTGACGCTCATGGAACGTCTTTCTTTCATCTCCTCCCCACCCCCCCTTGTTCTAAGGAAAACTCATTTTGACGCCAGGGCCACGCACATCGTCAGATCTGAGGCTGCCCCTTGCGGTGACCCCCTTTCCTGGCCTGGCCTCTCCGCCGCCCCCTCGCGCTGCTTGGGGGGCGGCCGCCCGCCCCGGTGCCCCGTGCGCCCCTCGGGGGCGGGGCCGCCTTGCCGGCACCCACGTTGGTCCCGTGCGTCAGGCTGGGACCCCCCAGCGCGTGCCCCGGGGGTCCCTCACCCCTCCATGCAGAGCTGCCTAAGCTACCCGCGCTGGGCAGGGAGACCTCCAAGCCTGCCTCCCACCCAAGAGAAGAGGGAAACTTTGCCTTAACGGTTGCCCAGCAACGGCTCGCTCTGCCCCTTTGGCTCGGAGCCCACTGCGCAGGCGCGGGGCGGGGGCCGAGGTTCAAGTGCAGCTGGGACGGGTGTCTCTCAGGGTTCGCTTCGGCGGCTCCCGGAGTGATGGGGACGCTGGCGAGGGAGCCCGGGGCGCGGAGCGGGAATCCGGGTCGCACTGGGGGCCGATGCCTCGCTTTCGGGGGTGGGGGCCGCCGCGCCGCCGGTGGGACGGACCACTGCCGCGTGGCTCTAGAAAGCTAGTGGTGTTCCTCCCAGGTCTACACCACGCGTTCAAACAGATGTTTTGTTTTCAGAGGAAGAGGAGATTGGCTTGGTTCTCATGAGCAGTATTCTGTTTCTTTTTTCCTTGCTCATTTCACTTGGGGGTAGGAAGTCTGTGCTGCAGGGGGCTGCGAACGTCTGCCCTCGGACAGTTTACAGAAATAAATGTGGTTTTTTGTTTTTCAAAAAAAATAACAACCGAGTTTGTCTGATTTGTCTTATGAAGCGTCTTCCTTTCCTGTGAAAACGAAGGCCGTTGTCCCGTCCGACCCTAAGAGGCATTTATGGGGCTACGGGGACCACGCACATTCGTATTCGGTAGCTTAATGTTTACCCACAACCTGGAGAAATAGATGCCACTGGTGTCCGTTTTATGGAAACTGAGGCTCAGAGAGACTGAGTGAGTCGCCTGAGGCCACCTGGCCGGGAAGTAGAGCCGGGCTTCGGACCTGGGTCTCCCAGTGCCCCTGGCGCTGTAGCTGGGCTGGGGGTGGCGAGGCCTGAGGATTGTGACACGGGCCGAGCGGCCAGGCCCGTCCACTCTGCCTTTTCCGGAAAAGCTGGCAAAAGCGCCCTCCTCAGCTGGGCTGCGACGGCCTCTCTGAGGTCGTGCTCGAGCTGAGAAATGACTTCCAGCACGCCAGCCCCGGTGGGAACTCAGAACCAGGCCGGGGGAGTGTCAGACGCACAGACAACCGGTGTGGGGGGAGCTGAGTGGGGGGCCGGGCAGGGGAGAACCCAAGACCGGAGCAGGGCTGAAGGCTGCCCTGCACCCCAGCCCACCCTCCCCCAGCCACGATGGAAATAGTGGCTTGCCCCCTGCTCGCAGCTCTGTGGCTTCAGGCAAGTCAGTTAACCTCTCTGGGCCCCAGTTTCCTCATCTGCTCTGTGGCTTCAGGCAAGTCAGTTAACCTCTCTGAGCCCCAGTTTCCTCATCTGCGAACTCAGCAGTGATCTCACCAGCTGGGATGGCTCAGACGGCAGAAGGGGCAGCGAGGATTCTGTCGGGGTCCCTGTAAGGGCTCAGCTCTTGTTAGGTCAGGCCCACCGCTAGGCCTTGTTAGCTCCGCACGTCCCAGATTTGTCCTATACTCAGAACAGAGCGAGCCAAACTAGGTCTCCGGCTTTGCGGCATATGGGTGTCAGCTCTGGTTAGACAGCTTACAGAGAAGGACAGGCCCCCTCTGGAAGAAAAGCCAGGCTCTGGGAGGGAAAATTATAAAGGCCCTGGGCTTGGTCAGGGGCATCAAGGAGGGCTTCCCTGAGGAGGTGACGCCTGAAACTTGGAGAGGAGCAGTGAGGTGGGTAGAGGGGGTGGCGGGGACAGAGGCTCCATGGGGATGTCTGCTCGGGGGAAGAGCAAAGGGTGAAGCTGGGTTTGTGTGTCAAGGATTTAATCTAACGTGGCAGGCAGCTCCAGGCTTTGCTGGGATTTCAGAGGGCGCCTGATGGGATCGTGAGGTCTCGAGGGCAGAGGCTTTGCGTCCCCGCCTCTTTATTCCCTGTAACCAGCCCCTGGGAGATGACCAGAAACATTGCCAGCAGAACCTCCAGAAGCCCAAGGCCTGGAGCGGCCTTGATCCCCCCTGCCCTGACCCCCCTCCGTCAGGGCCTGGCAGGGGATGGGCTACGCAAGTCTCTGCTTCGACGCGACGCGCTCTGAAATCCTTCACTTGGCCGTTTAACTGCTGTTCCCGATTCCCCAAAACCGAACGGTGGAAAACAGCCACAATTTTATTTTGCCCTTGATCTTGTAACCAGGAGTCCGGGAAGGGCTCAGCAGGGTGATTCTCACCGGCGGGGTCTTATGTGCTTGCGGTCAGACCCTCCAGGCCAGACCCTCCGGGCCTGATGCAGGCGGCTGTCCCGGAGCTCGGCGGGCATGGCTCTGAGCACCTGGCGTGGCCTCCCGCCCTGGCCTGGGGGGCTCCGGGTTCTGGGCTTCTTCTCCCAGAGCGAGCGCCCTGAGGACCAGGGTGCGAGGATGCATGGCCTTCTCTGACTGTGCCTGGGAAGTCCCCGGCAGCCTGTCCCCTGGCTGTCCACCGGGGAAGCGGTCATGAGCTCCCCAAATTCAAGGGGAGGGGACACTGACCTCACCGTTCGGTGGGAAGAGTGCCAGGGCCTGGGTGGCCCTGTCAGGGGCCCTGCGCTCTGCTGGGGCAGGGGCGGTGGGGGTGGGGCGGGGTGGGGCGGGGCAGAGGTGATCCGCAGTCAAACAAGCCAGTCATCGCCCTGCTGTTTCTGGGCCCTCAGGGAGCTGTGGCTCCAGGCTGATTGATCCTCGGGGGAGGCTCCTGTTTCTCTACCCAGCGCTCCTGATCAACCTTGACTCTGGGGGCCCAGCCCCAGGGTGCCCCCCTGCTGAGGCCAGGCCTCCTGCTGCCCCCCCCCACCCCCAGGGGCTGTCCTCATTACTGTCACTCCGCTGCCTCCTGGTCCCCATTTCTCAGTGACCTGCAGGAGACAGAGATGCAAAAATCAGGAACCGAAAGGTCAGCTGTGAGGAGGTGACCGCCGGGGACAGGAGGCAGCTCCCACGGGGGCTGGGGGATGGAGGCGGCTGGTGCCTTCACCTCTCAGCCTCGGTTTCCTCCTCTCTACCCCAGGACCGTGGGGCGTCCAGCTCTTGATTTCAGCTCAGGTCCTGATCTCATGGTTCGTGGGATCAAGCCCCATGTCGGGCTCTGCACTGACAGTGCAGAAGCTTGGGCTTTTCTCTCTCTCTCTGTCTCTCTCAGTCCATCCCTCCTTCCCCTCTCCCAAAATAAATAAATAAAACTTAAAAAAAATAAACCAGGACCACGGTAATAGTACTTACCTGTTCTCGCTGCTGAACTGCTATGCAAAACACCACGGACCTGGGAGGGCTTCGAAACAGCAGAGATTGATTTCTTACAGCCTGGAGGCTGCAAGTCCAAGGTCAGGGGACCAGACGGTCCAGTGAGGGCTCTCTCCTGATTCTCGCTGTGTCCTCCCCAAGGCCCCACCTCCTCACACCATCGTGCTGGGCACATAAATTGGAGGGACATGCACATTCAGACCACGGTGTTCCCTCGTGCGTTTATATGACAGCCACATGGGTGTCCCATCCACGGGTGAGCCGTGCCAACAGCTCAGCGCGACGATGGTATCTTTGTGCTGTGATGGCTACTCCCCGAGGGGCCCCAGAAGACCGCCCTTGCTCTGGGGAAGGGCTGGGCCTGTGACCAACTTCCGGCCTGACGGCAAGGCAGAGAGAGACAGCATCTAGACCCTTCCATCCCTTCTGGTCGGTGCCACTGCCCACGGGCCCACCATTAGAGCCCCGGCTTTGGCCGAGCCGGCACGGGGTGAGGTGGAAGGGTTCCAATCCCAGCTCTACTGCTCACAGCCCGTGTGACCTGCCCCTCTGGGGCAGCCAGGGCAAGGCGAACCCCAGGCTGAAGTTCCGTGGGGCAGGGACTTATCACCAAATGCCTGTGAACAGAAATACAGTGAGGCAAGATTTGAACCGCGGTGGTCCTAAGCGGCTGCTCATCAGCACACGCTGTGAGGTCAGCCACAGGAATGGACAGATGAGTGAGCACCACCATTCCGCCTTTGGGAAGCGACTGGCTGGCCCCACGTGGGTCCCCAGCTGCCTGTTGGCTGGGACAGGGCCCCTCGGCAGGTGGCCCTTCCAGGCAGGGGTGCAGCAGGAATTCCGGCCGCCGGGCTCCCGTTCAATGAAAGGGAGATGGGGCGCCTGGGTGGCTCAGTCGCTTAAGTGTCTGACTCTTGATCTCGGCTTAGGTCATGATCTCGCAGTCATGAGATTGTTGGCACTGGCAAATCTGGCCAAAGAAAGAACCGGTACAGTGTTACCTTCTACAAGAATGTCTAGAATACAGGGGCGCCTGGGGGGCTCAGTCGGTTGCGCATCTGACTTTGGCTCAGGTCATGATCTCACGGTTTGCGGGTTCGAGCCCCGCGTCGGGCTCTGTGCTGACAGCTCGGAGCCTGGAGCCTGCTTCGGATTCTGTGTCTCCCCCCTCTCTGCGTCTCCCCTGCTCATGCTCTGTCTCTCTCTCTCTCAAACATAAATGAAACATTAAAAAAAAAAAAAAAAAGAATGTCTAGAATCCAGTTTGCAGAATCTGCACACAGGACTTGGCTGTGTCCACAACTGGGGGCCTCCTCCGAGGACTCTATTCTGACTCGGGAGCAAAGGTGCGTTGGCCACAGGTGAACCCCTGATCGGGCCGTCCTTCCCTCACTTTCCCGAAGGCCCCGCCCCCACCCTCTGGACAGAGACTGGTCTCCTCCCCGATCTGCTTCTTCTAGAAGGCCCCCCACCCTGCACTCTCTGCAGTGGGCTGAATGGCCCCGAAAGATACGTCTGCGCCCTGGAAACTATGCACGTGAGCGAATTTGGCCGAAAGTTCTCTGAGATGTAACTGAGTTAAGGACCCCCAGGTGGGGTCGCCCTGGGTTTAGGATGGGCCCTGAGTCCAGGTCCAGGTGGTCCTCATAAGAGAAAGCAGAGGAGACTTGAGACAGAGCCGCAGGGGCGGCCAGAGGCAGAGGTTGGGGCCACGGGGCCACGGGGCCACGGACGAGGGACGCCTGGAGCCACGGCAGCCAGAAGACGCAGGCAGTGTCCTCCCCGGAGCCTCCGACAGCCGGAGGGCTCGCCACCCTGCCCTCCTTGATTTCAGACCTCCGGCCTCCGAACTGTAAGAGGAGACGTTTGTGTTGCTTTAAGTCCCCTCCCCGCCTCGCCCCTGCAGAGGTCAAAGTTACAGGACCCGCGTCGGCCCCCTCCCCCACTAACTGTCACCATCTCCAGGGCAGGGACAGTGTCCCCAGAGCCTCTCACGTAGTAGGTCCTCAGGCAACAGTCGGTGAGCGGGGCGCACGGCCTTCAGGCCATACGCAGAACGCACACCTGCTCCGATCTGCTCTGCGCTGAGCGAGACAAAGAGGCGGGAGTGGGGGGCCCTCCCCAGCTCCCTCGCCGGGGCGCTGGCCCCCACCTCTGGCGGTGTCGGCAGCTGGTCCCTGGGGGACGAGCACATGTCCACCGATCTGGTGCACCTGCCTGTGTTCTCCACCTCCAGGGGCTTCCAGCCATTACCCAGACTGCTCCTCGCTTGTAACTGTCCCTGGGGGGGCCGTGAGCTAGCACTGGGGAGGCCCCAGCAGAGGCCGGAGTGTGCCCAGGGCTGGGA